CTATGATATATGGCATATCATTACATCGCGCCATACCTAATAGTTGGCAAAACTTTCTACTGTTGTTTACTTTCTTGGAAAGCTCAAGGCAGCTTAAATAGGCTCCCTGCTGGTCTTTCCATTGGGATATTAGCTAGGGTCACTCTTAGGTTTATCAGTATTATATAATCATATGCTTCTGGGGGCCCTCTTTCTCCAGAGTGGAATGGACTATTGCTGCCAGATTTTCCTAGCCAATGTCAGAAAGATTAGCCAAGGCTATTTGCTGCACCAGGAATGTACTTCAATAGAATCTTCTTCATCTTGTCATCATTTGAACTGGACAGAATTATGGTTATTAAAACTTTTGTCATCTAAATGCCAATTCTCAAAATAGATTCAACTCATCCAAGTGCTCAAAATAAAAAACAGTAACTATTTGACTAGAAGTTGTAATATCTCTGCTCCCTACATCATTTTAATCGTATTACCAACCTCTGTACTGCAAGTGATAGACCCAGCCTGTCTAGCCATTGTTGAATACTACATCTCCGTGGTGGCGAACCTATGGCACGCGTGCCACAGGTGGCACTCAGAGCCCTCTCTGTGGGCATGCGCCCCATCGCCCCAGTCCTAGGCCTTCAGCTGGATTTCATAAAACCTTTTCACTTTAAGCCTCTGCCGCCGTGTGCAAAAAAAAAGGTTCAATCAATCAATCAATTTCAACTTCTCGCGGGGAAAAAAAAGATCTCACAAAGTTGGAATTGATTGAATTTTTTAGTCCCACCCAGTCTGCCATTACCACCGCAGCCACGCCCACCCAATGGGCCATGCCCACCCAATGGGCCACACCCACCCAATGGGCTACACCCAACCGGCACCCGACAATACATAAGTGGGTTTTGGGTTGCAGTTTGGGCACTCGGTCTCTAAAAGGTTCGTCATCACTGCTATATCTACTCATTGCTGTGTCTCTCCCATTCCCAGTCACATTTTTCCTTCTTTATCCAGAGCAAGATTGAGATTGACTTAAAGGGAACACTGTACAAGCTATATAAAATCATCTCTGCATTTTTTACCTATGACAGAAAAGCAAACCCACAAAGAAGCACCAACCACTTAGTGTGTGTCTACAAGGATAGGAATTTTGCTCTTTGGGTAAATGCTTAGAAACAAAATCAAGCTGTTGATTGGTACTTTTTCTGTTAAGGATTTCCCTATTCATTTGATGAATTTAATGCCTTTCACTAAAGCTACTCCACTCACAATGTGGCTCATTCATATTATGTTTTTGCTTTGGTGAAATCCATATCATCATCATCATCATCATTCGTTCACCTAGTACAGGGGTAGTCAACTTTGGCTCTTTTATGACTCCCCTGACCTAGTACATCTATCCCCAAGTTTAGATTTCAATTCTCAAAATTCCATAGTCAGAATTATCACTATTGAGAAATCAGTGTATTCACATGTCTGGTGAATGTGGGGTCTATGACAATTCGCCGTGGCCAACTCTCCACACGACAACTTATTGCCGGACAAAAGTTACACTAATAACAAATGTGGAATAGAATCATTAAAAAAGGATGCAAAAGGAGGAACAAAATGAAATTTTTATTTATTTTAAGTAATTAAACAGAATTGTTAAATTGTTCCGCAGTAAGTTGTCCTGCGACAAGTTGGCTGTGGTGAGTTGGACATGGAGAGTGGGCCACAGCGAGCTGACTGTGGCAAGTTGTCCCATTCCCTGAATGTGAGCTGGTCTACCTTAGGAATATAAAAATAAGGACTGAAGCAGGAAGAAATCAGTCATCTTTCTGCTGCAGATAGTCAAGAAGAAAAATAATCATATGAAGCAGTCTTATGAAGACATAAACAACAGAATAAAAACTCTCCAGTACAATGTAAATGTAATCAGCAAGCTTTTAATATCCAAGTCACTTGTGCACTGAACAAGCGTTCTTCCACAACCAAGCACTTCAAAGAGTACTTTGAGCTTACATTTTTCTTGTAAGCAGGTCCAGATCAATATGGAGGAGAAGACATAGCAGGGGGAAACAAAACCATCTCATACTTAATTATTCCTTTGGAAATTGGTGTATGCATGAAACAAAGAACAAAACTGTTTTGAAATTTTTCCCAAATCATCTTAGTCCAGCTGAAGTTCAGCAGAAAATCTGAAAAGTGGTGCTTCTGGGTTTTGGCTAAAACAAAATCTGAATACTAGAATGATTTCCTGAGGCAAAGAAGGCAAGATAATTACACTTTGCTTCCTTTCTCCTCTCCTTCTACAAGTGGCTGTGTCCCAACTCTTGTATTGAATAAAACAGTATTTTGTTCAGTATATAGACCTAAACTCCCAAAACGCATATTTCAGCTGTGGTGACCGACTATCCAAATGCTGATGAGAATATTTTTTTCATTTCCCTATTTCTGTATGAACGGTGTGGGTTGTGGCATCTTAATATTGTTAATTTGCCTGAGCAATAAGAAAGGAAACACATCTGAAGAGAATGATGGCTGTTCATATCAAGTAGATTCCACAGTCCAGAATCGTAGCATGTAACACTGATTATTTCAACAATTAATATAACTATTCCCACACTGTCTAATTTTCAAGATGGCTGTTTAGGGTTCTAATTCCCATCTCCCTGTCTTCAAAACAGAAACAAGAATATTATCCCGAGCAGATAGGAGCCACTTCAGGAATCAATGTGAGAGCCAACACTCCAATCTTGGGGGAATAGCCAAAAAAAGGCTTATTGTCAGAAATTACAACTTTTTGTGAAACTGAATAGCAGATAAAACAGTGGTTGTAATTACAATGCCCACAAACACAGGCCATTAGACTTGCTCAATGAGGTTCATGGCACTTAAAATGCCAAATGTCTAAAGGGCATTTGGGACTCCCAAGACCTGTATCTCAGCTCCCTTGCATTCATAAGGATGCCGCTTCTTTTTCTGAACCAAGAGAATTATTTTTGAAAGAAACACATCTACAACTTTACAGTGATCAACCTTTTAAGAAACGACAGATATAGGACTTAGTTAATTATACTTGTCACCCCGTTTTCATTTTGGTTAAGACAAATCAAGGCAATGGAAGCAACGGAAGTCTGCCACAAAAACAGAATTACAATCATAATTGTATGGCAAGAAAAATATATTCCCCATTGGACACAATGAGGAAACCCCTTGAAACATTTGAAAAATGCCTTAACGTCTTCAAAAATGAATACTTTGCCATTTCTTCGCTTGGGCACACTAGAACTATACAATAATAAT